AGATGAAGTGGGATGGGGTGATTGGGTGGAATAGGGCATGGGGTAGTAGGGGAGGGAAAGGGAACTGAGAGTAATATGTGTAAAAATGTTAAATAAAAAGGAAAATAAATAATTCAAAGTCACGAAGAGACAAGTCTCATTTTTCTTCTCATCAACAAATGCTTTACATTACTTTTCTTTGATGTGAGTCACAAGACAACACATGGATCAGGGAAGAGAGAAGAGAGAAATCTTCCCAAACTCCATCTATTATTGGGATCTATGTAAAGAGAAGCCTTCCTGCCAACCTAGTTCCAGAGCCACATCAGTCCCAAATAACACACAGGAGGCTATATTAATGATGAAGCTGTTGGTCTTGCTTGTTTCTTACTGGCTAGCTCTGACTTAAGTATTTACCCCATAATTGTTAATCTAAGTATTTCTTTTACCGGAGAAATTTCCAGGCTTCCTACCCCATGCCGGTTACATCTCGAATTCCTGTGTTTCTCCTACCCAGAGTCCTCTTGGACTCCTAGTCCCACCTATCTTGCTTCCCTATTGACCAAAAGTGCTTTATTGACATATACACAGGACTACACCCATCCTCTCCTCTTTTCTGTCTAAACAAAAAGAAAGTTCTTAACTTTAACATAGTCAAATTATATATAACAGAACAGTTATCAAGTAAGAACACAGTTACAATATTTTGTCCATCAACATTTAGAAAGATTTAAAGAAAATATCATCTATCCGATCCTTGTGAGTCCAAAGTTGTATATGAGGCTTATCTTTTATCATAACTAAGTAAAACTACAACTATCTGTCTTCAACTCCATCAAAGACCACAGAAGGATAATATATAAACACTAGGATTGACAGAGACATCTTGCTGCCTGGACAGTCACCTGAAGTTTCTCTGTAATGTTGGGGCATCCATCTTCAGTCCATAGGCCACAGTGTGTCCATAGACTTCTCAGCAAAGCAGGAAATTTCAAACTGTCCATCTGCACTGACAGTATGTCAGGAATTTTTCTGTGTCCTGCAGAAAGTCTCATAGACTCTTCCATGAAGCAGGAGCCCTGTAGGACTGTTTCAGTTCAGCAGTTACTTTCCTGTGGGTCCTGCATGTCCAGTTTATACAACAACAGTCAAGCAGTCAAGGCAAGAGCAGTTTCTTGCCCAAAATAGCTAATCTTGCCATGTTGAAAGCAAATTCTATAACGAGTTTCTTCGATGCCCATCTTCCTCTCAGACATAATTGGTGCTGCCAGGAGCAGATATTTCTCATTATCAAAATGGCATTTTAAATGCCATTTTCTGAAGGTCTTTGAAAGGTTTAAAGACTGTCTATCTATCTGTCTAAAATACATCTCTATATATCTAGAAAACCTAACTTACCTAACTATAAATTCTGACTATTATAAGTAATATCTGTAGACTGTACTTAATTATGCATTACATTTTAAAAGAACAGTATAAACACAATATTTAATCAAGAGGAGAAATATACATATCACAAAATTGACCTTGAATTTGTATCAATAAATGAAAAACCATACCAATACAAAGTACTAATTTCCATACCATAATCCCCTTTTCCTTTAAAAAGAGATTGGTTGGGATCATTAACCAATTATAAACAATCCCATTAAAATGAAAACAAAGATTTATAAGCAAGATGGGAATTTGGACATCGCTCATTCCAAACTGCTTAGTGCTTGAAGGGGGCGCTGTTCATACTATGGGGATCATGACAAAACTGAGAAAACTGTATAAGTCCTTATTTTGGGGTCTGTAAAGCTCCATCATCTTAGCTGGTTTAGATGTTGAATCACTTGGGCCATTGTTTCCAGGGATCTTGGTTCATCAAACCACAGAAGCCTGGAAGGAATCCTCAGCTTTTCATTTTCTGTAGAAACATAAACTAAAACTACTTTTCCAAAGTAACATATCCTTATACTTATATTTTGAAGTCAAGGCATTTCAAAAGATATAAGTTGAATTAACTAATTCAGCAGCATTTATAATCAAGTGTACTTTAGTAGTTGTTCTTTCCTTAGCAATCAAAAAACTGAAAAACACAATACTATATAGTATCCAGAGTTTCTGTGTATTTTCCATCTTTATGTGGCTTATTTATTTATCCATTATTACTTTATTTTTTACATTTATTTCTTTCTTTATTTCTCTGAGACAGAGTTTCTCTTTGGAAATCCATCTGCCTCTGCCTCTGGAGCAATTCCTACCGGCATGTGTCACAACAGCCGGCTTCTCTATTTACCAGTATATGCCGTTTTTCTTCTCTTTCTCAATCCTATGTATATTTTTAAACACACTGTAAACATTTAGAGGTTTTTCTTCATCCAAGTCTGACTTTACTGTAGATATTTATGGTTTTCTGGCCACGTGTCTTATCTGTTAAAACCATGGCTGCTTAAACTGCAGTTTTTCCAAGATTGTGGTGTAAGTGTGACTCTAGCTCATGCTCAGTCTATACTGACATCTAGCAATAGCTGCCGGCTTAGAGCTGTGGTCACTGCCACTTCCAGCTGTACAAAAAACTTTTCAATCTTTAGAAGAGCCTCTTAAAAAAAACCTTATTGTTTTTTTTTTAATTTTTAGTCAGGAAGACTACCTTAAGCGAGTCACGTGAGTTTCTGCTTGTCGGTAGCAAAACAGAGCCCACCTAAGAAAAATGCTGCTACGAAAAAGCCCATGCTTTTCTCCATTCTTTTGTTTCTAAAATTCCTTTAAAGCTTTTGCTATATTACGTGGAAATTCAATCCTGCTCCTGACAACCATTATGTAAAGAGAAGCCTTCCTGCCAGCCTGGTCCCAAATAACACACAGGGGTATATATTAATTATGAAGCTGTTGGCCTTGCTTGTTTCTTACTGGCTAGTTCTGACTTAAGTTTTAACCCCATAATTTTTTATCTAAGTATTCCTCTTACCAGAAAAATTTCCGGTCCTCCTACCCCATGCCGGTTACATCTTGACTTCCCGTGTTTCTCCTACCCAGAGTCCTCCTGGACTCCTAATCCCACCTATTTGACTTCTTTGACTGATTCCTAACCAGAATTATCTGTGTATGCAGGTGTCCAGTATGACGTACAGATAGTGGAATCTGGTGGTGTCCTGGTCACCTGGGGGTCCCTGATAGTCTCCTTTGTGTACTCTAGATGCAACTTCAGCAGTTATAACCTACACTGGCTCCAGGGAAGGGGATGGAGTGGGTTCCATACATTAGCTATGACAGTGGTACTTACATCAAATATACAGATGCCATGAAGAGCCTATTTACCATCTCCAGAGACAATGCCAAGAACACTGTGTAGCTGCAAATGAACAACCTCAACTCTGAGGACACAGCCGTGTATTACTGTAACAGAGACACCATGAGTGAATGGTACTGTGAGCTCAGAAACAAACCTCCCTGCAATGTTGCCCTGGACCAGCAGGGAGCACAGAGATCACTCTCAGAACTGGGCCAGACAATTGTTTGTTCAAAAGGCAAACAGGGCTGGAGTCTATCTCAGGGCTGCTTCTCAATTTCGCATTCAGGGATTCTTTTTCCAGGTGTAGAGTGTAGTAATTCTTAAAATGTCCAAATGTTAATGCAATTTTCTGTTTTCTTTTGTTATGTGTTGTGATTTTTATTATTGTGTTTCTCTCTCCCTCCCTCCTTCTCTCCATGTATTCTTCCCTACTCCCTTTATTCCCTCCCCCCCTCTCTTACTCCCTCCTGTCTGTGTTTTTTCATATTTCTGTCCATGTTGACATGAGATGATTTTCTCTATAAACCTAAAAAGTACATTTTGAATCAGAATCTATCACTGGGTCTGGATATCACTGACTGACTAGACAGATTGACTGGAATTCCCCATTAATGGCACTGTTTCCACTTTACAGAAATGGGACTCTTTGAGAATGTGTTTTAGTGTTCTAACCTGTAATTTCATTTCTACCAATGGAAATCCTCTAAAGGACTCTCTCCATTGTCATGTTCTAATAAATTTCCTTTTGTTCACTCACTAGAACCAATGTTTTCATTTAGTTTGTGGGTGGTTAGTTGTTAAGTATAAATTTAGTAGAGCATTGGAATTATGACTCAATAGTAATTCAACTATTTTTTAAATAAAAATCAGCTTTAATGATGATTTTGCTCTTTCCACATAAAAGTTCTGTTTGAGGCATCACTGTAAGACATGCCAATGTGGCACATGTGTTAACCAACCCAGGATTGATCATGATAATACTGACCAGCACAGAATCTCCCTATCAGACTTTCTAGTAAGCTAAGTGAGTTCCTTTTAAAAAGGGGATATTTTAATTTTCATAAAACGGGAGACAAGTGCTAGAAGCATGCATTTCATAAAACAATGACACTTGTTATAAATACCTACATTATCTTCCTATAGATCCCATTCATTTAAAAACTCTAGATAAATAAAGCAGTTCTATCTTCAGTGATATTATTTAAAAAGCCTCAAGAGTTAAAACAATAGTGAAGAACTTCACTATCTTTATACATTACACAGTAGATAAAGCTATTAAACTCCTCACTATCAAGAACAAATCAATACCACCAACCTAGCTACATCAGTGGAAGGCAGACATCACTCAGTAGATGCAATGTAGATTACTTGGAAATATACATGGCAGTGAAGTCATGTGATATTTAACTCATGAAGTGACAATGCTAGCCTAACACACAGAAACACAAATACAAATATCTATACTTGAATTATAGCTGTCGAGTAAAAAGATGGATTTAATACAGATGAGCAGAGAGACAAGGGTCACAAAATGTGAGAATATCTTTATGGAAGAGGCTGGTATTCGCTGTGAAGCATAATTATATAGTAATTCCAATGAAGGTACAATAATTAAAAATAATGAATTCTTCAATTTCCTGAGTTAGGCCAAAGATGCGGATAATTTTTGTTGAATTCAGAATGGTTAAGGGAAGAACACTTTTCCTTTTTTCTCTTCTTTTTTCTTTTTGTGATGTTTCCTTTTTTAAATTTGTTCATTTCTTTTTCTTGTATTTTTTCTGATACTTTTGTTCCTTTGATTTGAAGAGTCCTCTTTGGTGGAGCTGAAGTAAGACCTTTTCCACTTTTTCTTCAATTTAAGTTTCTCCCTGGTTGTTTCCTTTTGCTTCCCCTTTTCTACATTTATTCTTTTTTCCTGCAGAGCCTTCAATTTCTTCATTTCTTCATTTTCTTCATCGCAGTCCACACTATTTGTGCTGCTGACATCCAACACGATGTCTCTTTTGGGGTCTACCCAGAGAAAATTGTGGCACTCAAAATTCATATGGCCAGGTTAGCCACATTTTTTGCACTCTGCTAGGATATTTTACTTGTTGCAACCTGGGACTTCCATGATCAGGAGAATAGAGTCGTAGGCTTTGGAGATCGAGTTAGGTTCAGGTCCATTGAGAGGACAACACACTATCAGAGAGAACTCTCCCACCTGGTGCCCTCAACTATAGCCAATTCAACTATGTTTCTCAGGTGATAGAGAAACCACACCTTCCCTTAATTAGTGGTACTTTCTGTAAAATCCTTGGAAACTGAAATAACCATCGTTTCCTTCTTCTAAGCAGGTTCCACAGAAGAGACAAATTGGGTCAAGTTTGTACCAAATTTAAATCTTCTGTTTAGACAAAAAGGGGAATTGTAAGGATGAGCCCCACAAAAGTAATTCTCTGGGGGTGGGAATTAGGAAATTTAAGATAAAAGGAAGTGAAAGAGAAACAAATCTCTCTGCTTCTCCTTCTTCCTCTGGAAGATGGACATGCTTCTGACCCTCCTGCCTTTTATGTGTAAGTCCTTATTCTGGTAAAATAAATATATTATATTTCCTATTGCATTGACAAACATCTTTACATTGAGTTCTGTATTCACTTGCTGCTGCCTGTTTCTTCAGGTATAGAACTCTAATTCCAACTCCAGCACCATTTCTGCCATGTGTCCCACCATGATGTTGAAACCTCTGGTGTAAAATACAGCACCAGTTAAATATCTTCTAATATTTGCCCTGGACATAGCGTCTCTACACAGCAATAAAACCCCAAGACACACGTTATTAGTCCTATATAATTATTTTTCACAAAATTCATACATTGTGGAAATATTTGTACACAGTAGTTGGGAATATGTTCTGAGATTATGCATTATTTTCTGGTCTCATATTTTCTGCCTTGCCAGGCCCAGGATCCTGCCCTACCATCTCACACCTTGAGAGAACAAGGATCTGCATTGATAGAGCATCATCTCTAAGAGCTCATTATTTGTCACATTGGTTCTGTAGAGCATCTGATTTTTGGATAAATACCATGGTACTTGATAATATCAAGGATTTATATTATTGAGAATTATTTATCTTTGAAACAAAACTTTATATGTTCCTCTATATGAGATTTCCTCCAACTTGCTCCAAGAACTATGTAAACTGAATTGGCATTTTAATAGCTGTGTCATTTATTGAAGGCTTATCAAGGAGAACAGTCATAATTCTTCAATGTATATTCATCAGAAAAGGGGATCAAGTGTAGTCACTTGTGCATGCTACACAATTGAACTAAGTCCTCAAAGGTGCTTTTAGATTTTAATATTTCTTCTGAAAATTAATTCAGCTTGATATTAGTTGTCCCTTAATTTGGAAAATAATGTTGTTTTATTTTTATGGTGTAGGCAGAGTTGGAGACACGGTTAAAGCACAAGAAAACATTGAAATGTAATCACATACACATGATTAGCAAAATTATGTTATGAACACTGTTACTGCTAACTCATCCATTTAACATCTCCATTGTGTATTAATAACTGCCTCCTCTAATGTGTCAACATTATCACAAATGATATAGCAGGAAGAAATGGAAATTTGGCTTGTGTCTGCTAATGAAAGCCAGCCCAGACCTGACCCTGTAGCTCTAGCAGAGGAGCCCAGTCCTGAGTTCCTTGGTATTCCAATTCAATGATCATCACTGAACACAGACAACCCACCATGAAGTTGGGGCTGAACTGTATTTTCCTTGAATCTCTATTAAAAGGTCGCTTATGGGAACAAGAGATGCTGAGTATGTTGGAGCATAACTAAGAAGTGGGTATGAGTAGGAGGCACAGTAGATGTGGGTAACTTTTTTCTGACTTGAACTCTACTTTTAAAGGTGTCCAGGGTGAGGTGCAGCTGGTGAATCTGGATGAGGCATGGGACAGCCTAGGGGTTCCTAAAACTTACCTGTACAGCCTCTGGACTCACCTTCAGTGATTTCTGCATGAACTGGAGCCACCAACCACCAGGGAAGGGGCTGGAGTGGATTGCAGTGAGTAGAACCAAAGATAATTACTCAGCATAGCACAGTGCATCTGTGAAGGGCCGGTTCACCATCTCCAGAGATAATTCCAAAAGTATCCTCTACATGCAAGTGAATAGCCTGAAATCTGAGGACACAGCCATTTATTACTGTGCAAAGTTATACACAGTGAGGTGATTTCAGTGACAGCCCAGAAACAAATCTCCTTGCAGGTGTACTCAGAACCAACAGGGGGCGATCAATGACACATAAAATGGCTGGAGGCAATTTTCTCCATACTCCAGTTACTATCAGACAACTACTATGTTGTCTGAACATAAAATGCTGTATCTAACAGAGTGGGCTCTGTGTAGGAAAGTGGCAACTTTACAAAATTGATGGATTATGAGACACTCTAACACGTGTATTTTTTGTTAGGCAAGAGGGAAATTCTGAAGAATGTAAAATAGTAAAATCACCAATATGTTTCCTTTCATATTTTGTGTTGCATTTAGACATAATTATCTGTAAATTGTTGACAAGTATTTCAATATGCTCAACTTCCACAATAAATTGTACTTACATGTTTTTATAATAAATATATTACAATTTTAATCTAAACCAAGAATTTGGGACTTGGAAAATTATTGAAGCAAAACTCTTCTCATATTTGAGATTTATTTGTGTGATATTAAGCTATAACCTTAAACAAATTTTAGATGGAAGTTTATCTATAATGTTTATGGTATTCATGAAAGAAAATTCCGTAAAATTTGATAAAAATCCATTTTGTGTTTTACATATTGAATTAAAATTGATTTTATCGTTCAATTTTATGAAGGCCTTTCTAACCTAAATGTTAACAAAATATAGAACTTTGTCACATTTCAATAACTTAATGTTCATTTAAAAAGAATCTGTGGTACTTTAGTAGTTTTAAATCATGGCATTTCTACATGATTTCTGCCTCCTATTATACAGAGTTTCCATTTTTGACTGTTCATCCCATGTTGTCTCAAGCTCTGCACATTTTCATTCCTGAGTTGCTCTGGTTATTACCATCTTATAAAGGAGAGAGATTCTCTGAAGAGAGACAAATAAATGACCAATCTATGAATATAGCTGAACATCATTGGGAGTACATTTGGCTGTTCTTGTAGAATAACAGTAGTATTTGGCTTTGTCATAGGTCCCTCACAAATTTATTCTCAAGTTCTTGGCAATAAGAACAGTGTATTCCTTCTGATGGAGTGGTCACTAAAGGCAATCAAACAGTGGTTCGTTTTTCCATATGCTTTGTGCCAGTATTGCAATAGTGGATGATCTGCGTTGGTATATCACATGGTTTTAGATGCGTTGGCTTTTACCTTTCTACTCTGGTAGCATGCATAATGACTTCTAGGTCTGTGAACACTAGCCAGTAGGAATGAAGTCTCTAGGTAAACACTGGCTCAACTTGTCCATGTTCAATGAGTTGTGTAGGCATTATCTTCATCAATAGTGTCTTATTGTCAGTTTGCAGAAAACAAGTAATAATACACTTAGCAGTAGACTAGGTTGTTTGTAGTTTCATAGCATTTCCTTGATGAATAAATCAATTGCATGTACTTATTCCCAGATTTGAAGGCTTCATTGGATTATGAGAGATGTCCAGCTGAGGCTCCATCTACCCTGTTGTGTGGAATTCTGTTGAGTTTGCCTTCATATATGTAGATAATTTATGCACCTTTGATTTCATTACATTTCCATATGAACCCTCAATAGGTCCTTAGTTTTAATTTTCCCCCACGTATACCCTCTATTATCCCCTTTTCTAACCCTCTCCACATTTGGTCTTTCTATCCTATTGTACCCCTCCTATTCTTAACCTTGTATTCTATTTCCCCTTTCTAGGTAGTTAAGTCTTGCTTCACTAGTCTTTTACTCTACACTTAACATCTGTGGTTGCATAGAATATAGAATGGTCTCCTACCCTGTAACAGAAAATATCCTTACACAATTGAATATATTCCATATTTAGTTTTATGTCTGGGTTACCTCCCTAGTGATGATTTCCCCCTAGATCCATTCATCTACAAGCAAATGTTTTACTTTTTAAATTTTGAGTAGTATTATGTTGTGATAATAGACCATATTTTCCTTATCTGTCATCCACTGAGGCACAACTAGGCAGCATTATGTTTTAGCAAGTCTCACCAACATAGGATGTAAAGTCTTTTACATACGTAATCAAACTGTAACTTAATTGAAATCTATTTACCCCTTCCAAATGTTGCTTTACACTGATTTCCATAATGGCTACACAAGTTTGCATCCTCACCTGAAATGAACAAATGTTCTTCTTACTCAACATCGCTGTCATAATAAAATGTCATTTGTTTTATTTATCTTGGAGTTTCTGAATAGTGGAAGTAGTTTTGACTTTCCTTTCCCTCAGGGTTGTGGATATCATACATTTCTTTAGGTGCTTTTCAACCATTTGAGTTTCCTCTAGAGAATTCTCTTTTAATCTGAAGACCAGTTTTAATTGAGTAATTTGTTTTCTTGATATCCTATTTGTGGGTTTTAGAAATAATTTAGATATTATTCCTGTATTGGCTGAGCAGTTGGTAAAAATCATTTTCCAGTTTGAAGCCTGTTGCCTTAAATGAATGATGGTGTCCATTACCAAACAGAAGCTCTTCAGTTTCACTGTCATTTACTGCCTGTGATATCGATGTTATATACAGAAAGCATTTTCCCCTGCCAGTGAGTTCTAGATTATGCACCACTTAGTCTTCCACCAAATTCAGTGTACCTCACATAATATTTAAATGTTTAATCCATTTTATTTGAGTATTTAAGTATTGATATATTGGCATTCTTCCACATGCATCCAACCAATTTGACCAGCATCATTTGTTGAAGACAGTTCCTATTTTTTCAAGTTGCACATTTGTCTTCATTCTAAAAAAATTAAATGTCTCTAAGTTTTTTGGTTTATGTAAGGATCTTCAGTTTCATCCCCCTGATCAAC